GGATTGAAATCCATTTTCTACAAGAAACACACACAAACACAAATGACAATTAAAATCGAAACCGTTACATTTTCTTTATATTGTAATTGTGTAATCATTATGATCAAAACCTGTAATAATTGCTTTAGAAGGCTCATTGCTTTTGTCTAAATGAATACATGATGTTTGCTAACTGCATGATTTGTATTATTTTTGTATTTATTTGTATTGTATTTTTGTACATTTTTGACATGGACATTATTATGACAGTCACCTCTGATAACAGATAATATCTTGTATATATATATCAATATAATATCTTGTAATCTAGAAACTTGCGTTTTCTGTAAAGCTGCTTTGAAACGATGTGTATAGCACTATACAAATAAATGTGAATCAAATACTTTAAATTAATGCAAATAATAATAAAATAATAAGATGCACATTGACATAGTTTTACTAAAGTAACTATGTATTAAAATAACACAGTAAAACATCAGTAAAGTAACCACAAACTTACCATTGCTTTAATACAGTAATTAAAATGTATGGCATTATGCTAGCATATTTTTTTTTCTTCAAAATATTAATTAGAGGCACATAAAATCTTACAAAACCACACAGAATTGCGGAAAATTAACCATGGTTTTTAACACAATAACTATAGATCAAAAAAATAAATAAACACAACAAAGCCATTGCTTTCATATTAATATTCAAGATAATTTATCAACCACATTTGGATTAAATGTAAATACGAAAAATAAAAATGCAAACGGGTGTTAGCCCTTAGCCTTACCTCTTACTTTATGCACGTTTGAAGCAAACAAAACAAATTAAACAAGCTAATAATTAAAAAATCAGTTCATCCGTATTAAAAAGCGTTTAAAATGTTCAAAGCACTGCGTAGTACTGTTGAGCAATACCTCCCCCACTCCGTCAAACGCGCTCGGTAGCGGTCCCGCCCACAAGCCAATCAGGATGCAGGCTAAGTGGAATTTTCGAGAAGGACCAATGACAAACCTCACGTTATGACCATATAGGGATACACTCTAAGTGGAACTTCGCTGCGACCAATGGCGAGCAAGTGGACGGGCCAATCATAACGCCTGGAACGTGGAATTAGTGGAACTATGTGAAACCGAAGATCCGTTTCGCCATAGAGCCAGGGATTCGGTTCCACGTTCCACTTTCCCAGCGTTCTGATTGGCCCGTCCACCTGCTTGTCATTGGTCGCAGCGAAGTTCAACCCTTTGGTTAGAGTGCATCCACTGATCTATAGAATGAATAATGTCATTCTATGTAGATCAGTGAGTGCATCCCTATATGGTCATTATGTGAGGTTTGTCATTGGTCCTTCTCGAAAGTTCCACTAAGCCTGCATCCTGATTGGCCTGTGGGCGGGGCCGCTACCGAGTGCGTTTGACGAAGTGGGGGAGGTATTGCTCAACAGTAGGGCCTACTACGCAGTGCTTTGAACATTATAACCAGATTTTATTACGGATCAACTGATTTTTTAATAATTTGTTTGTTTGTGTGTGCTTCAAACGTGAATAACGCAAGAGGTAAGGGCGAACACATGTATGCATTTTTATTTTTCGTATTTACATTTAATCCAAATGTCATGGTTGAAATATGATCATGAACTTTAATGAAGCCATGGCTTTATTGATTTGTTTTCTAGAGTAAGGGCGGGAAAATGTGTGCCAACCGGGAATGAACAATTCACAAAATAGGTTATTTATACGATTTACTGAGCTGCGCCGCCCCGCAGCGCCGGCGCGTCCCTGCTCTCACGAGTCATGAATGGGTGATGGGAAGTTCGGATCATTTTACTGACTCTCTTGAGTCATGTCGTTTATTTAAGTGGCTTTAAATGTTATACTTTTAACAGGCAAATTCCCCGATCACATCCACCTACGCAATGTTGATCATATTCTGAATTAAGAAATCATAATGCAGTAAAAAAATTATTTACAGGGAACATAAATAATTACTTTACCTTCCGAGTCTTACGTTCATATGGGTGATCCGTTCATTGCGTCACGTGACATACGAAATGAACAGATCGTTCATTAATCCCCTGTCAGGGACTAATGCAGCAGGATGTCGAAACGAAATGAATTATTTGGTTGCGAATATCAAAAGAGACGACTTATAAAGGAGAAAGCACACCAACAACAGAGGGGTTCATTGTTGAAATATATTGATCCAACAAGTATTTGCAAGGATGACACGCCTTCAAGTCCACCACTGAACCACGAGACCGCTACCGCTAGCACAGCTAACGTTATCGAAATTTCTACAGCAGATGCTAACATATCAGCCTGCTATCTACCGTCAAGTCCACCATCACCATCACCAGGTCAGGAGGAGATTGCTTACTCAGCCAGTGACATTGCTTCCCGTTACAGTGGCTTCAGGAGAACGCAGTTTCTCAAAGTTGAAACTAATAAAAAACTACCTTCGCAGTAAGTTACAATGAAACAAGACGGACTTAATGGACTGGCAACAATCTCCATAGAACATGAACTGGCTCAGAGAATCGAAATAGAGGATGCAGTTAAGAGCTTTGCTGCGATGAAGGCCCGAAGGCCTGAAGCGAGCTTTATTTGCTCTTTAGTCGTTATTTAAGATGCTGAACCTTGCTGATGTATAATGGGCTATATAATAATATAATATAATGGGCTCGCGGACATTTCATTTGTGTGTGTTTTACGCACATAAGAAAATGGTGTAAAGAGATTTGGAAGCAACAGTAATTTAACGAGGTGAAATGTGATTATTTGGAAAAGTCCTGTCATGACTGCTTAAAGAAAAATGCCAGCAGGCATTTGCCTCCTGCATAAACTTTAATAGGTATTATTGACATTTTGGGCACGCGCGCGTTGCGCACTATATTTGCGTTATAGGCCTATGGCCTATTGGTCTCTGTGTGTCGTTGCTGGTTTTCCGTTATATGTATATGGCATATATTGGTCTCTGTTATGGCATATATTGGTCTTTGTGTGTTGTTGCTGGTTTTGCGTTATATGGCATATATTGGTCTTTGTGTGTTGTTGCTGGTTTTGCGTTATATGGCATATATTGGTCTTTGTGTGTTGTTGCTGGTTTTGCGTTATATGGCATGTTGGTCTTTGTGTGTTGTTGCAATTACGTTGCAAATCCTGCACACATAACATACACATGAGATTCGTGGTGATCGATTTTTTTATTTTTTTTTATGTTTTATGAAGTCTCAGAAATCTCAAACTGTATTTGTCCTTTTCACTCAATACGCTAACAATTGCAGAAAATAGTCATGAATGTTTAAACTGACGTTTGGAGAAATACAACGATTGACATGATATCCAGTCATATTTAGCCTAACGTTACATCTATAACGTTGAAGTACTTCAGTTTAGTTCAGCCGTACACAACCTTTCAGTCTCCACTCTAGCATAATATAGTTTTGAACATCGACTTGTATAATGTTTCTTGACAGTTTGATCTGTCAGATGATGCTCGAAAGGAGAAAGTTGTCCTGAATGCTGCGAAAAGCGTTTGTCCTGCAATTCCTCTCAATTACGAAGCAAGAAATTCATTTAGCCTATGTGAAGACATTTTTTGAAAAGTTTTGTTTGTGGTGAGTGAAAATTAAAATACACTTTAGGCTATAATTATTGTTTTCGCTCTGTGTTTTCAGGTACTAGAAAAATAATTCACCAAGAAAAACGACGCACATTTGTCAACCAAGACAGCTAAAACAACGCATGGTAAGTGAATTTCAACTACTTTTCACATTAGCGTTTAGTCTATATAAACATATTTGATAAATTCGTGTCGACATCTGCTAGTTTGAGTAGACTAAAAGGGAGCGAAGATTCAGAATGATCATTACGTGGCCAATACTGTCAGATTAAGAGACGGTTGATTAAAATCGCCTGAGGAAACATTAGAATGTTATGAAATCATTACAAATACTAAAAATATTGTTTTTGCTCGGAAACTAAATGTTTGTGTCGTGTTAAAGATGTAAACTCAGTAAGCTCCAGCGAGCCGCTCTGGCGCCAGACTGCAGTGCGGTGCTGCGCTCTAGCGTGGAGGCTGCGTACTGCACGCTTAAACACTGGATTTTTCACCTGAGACAGTGTACAGTATGAATATTTACAGTTAATTCATAATTAATAACTAATAATTAATAAAAATGAGGAACGCTTCACGAATTTGCGTGTCATCCTTGCGCTCTCTGCCCAGCAATGTTCTCTGGATGCCGGCCAATCAGCAGCTCGGGATTATCAAGCGTTTGTCAAGCGTTTTCGGTTTTGGGCCAATCAGCAGCTCGGATTATCAAGCCTTTGTCAAGCGTTTTCGGTTTTGGGCCAATCAGAAGCTCGGATTATCAAGCGTTTGTCAAGCGTTTTGGGCCAATCAGCGGTTAGTATAATCAAGCGTTTGTCATAGCAACCATCAACAATCCGGACCTGACACGACACCGACCGAGTCACCAAGTGAGTGAGTAAAACAAAAATAAATAGAATATTACGAATGTTCTGACATAGCATTGTCTTCCCAGAGTACTTTTACCATGTACTGACATGGAATTCGTCGATGTATTATTACGTCTTGCCGTCAATCGCTGGTTTTGATATTTAAAAATACGTTAACGTTTGTTAATTAACGTCAACGTCAGGCGTCCGTTACACATTTAAACCATATTTACACTTTGAATTTCGACTCCAAACTGTAGTAACTACATCTACATGGTCTAATGAAGATAACCAGGTAGTCTGATCAAAGATTAAATACATTTTGAGAGATCGCTAACATGTAATGCAATGCATTGGAAATTAATGGGACAACATGTGGCGATCTCTGAAAACAAAATTAAATTATGAAAAGACTATACATTTAGTATCGTTAGACCCTTAAGATTATAATATCACCACGTGAAATCAAAATATAAAGTTTAGGTGTGTCTTTTAAATGCATTAAGAATAAGCCTGTTTGTTTAATGGCTGCCAATGCACCCTGGGGTCATTATTTACCTGTTGTGTCACGTTATATTAATTTGTTAACGTTAATATTTCAATAGCGAATGTGTAGTTCTAGTATATCATTAATCTTATGTGTGATAGTCCTGTTAATATGGCAATTAACATATAGCTGCTAGTTTAACCTGTAATGCTCGTTTAATGCTGTGCCATTTGTCGTTGAAGATATGTCTTTAGCAAATTTAAAACTGACGGCCTCGCAGCAGCTTGTCCTGCGGGCCTCTGATGAGGCGGTGGCCTTCATCGCCGCCAAGGGGCCACGCGGGACCGCCGCTGCTGCGAGGGCCAAGAAGCCAGAGGAGGTGGAGAAGGAGGCCCAAGCCCACGTCGTCTCCAAGGGTGGTGACCCTGGTAACCCCATGCTGGTGCTGGGCTGCCACAGCATCCAGTTTGGCAAGTACCAGGGTCAAACTTTCCGTTGGCTCCTGGAGAACGACGTGGGCTACACCACGCAGTTGGTTGCCAGCCACCAGCGGGAGCGGGAGAAAAGTGCCTCCGACAGCCCCCTTATGGCCAACAAGGACGCACTCGCCCGGTACTCGTGCGCCCACCCTGCTTTTGCTGAGCAGCTGCGGTACCACCGGGCGCACGAGGAGGCCCGGGCTCGCGCCACTCAGCCCGGGTGTGAGGGCGAGGCGCTTGTTGGCTTTGGGGACTACAAGGAGGCCACCCTGAAGGACCTGTACGAATCCAAGGAGAAGAAGCACCAGACGTAAGTCTTGTTGTGGTGAAGGGCAGTGTACTGTCGACAGGGTGCTGTAACTTGTTGATATGCGTGTTAATCTTTGATCATTGTCTTGCAGCTTTGTCAAGTGGCTACGGCGGAAGACACCGCAGCCTGGGACCTCGATGGACGCCGCCAGGAAGTACATCCTGGGCCGAGACAAGGAGCGGTCGGCAGAGGTGGCTGCTACCCCCCCACCTCCCAGCAGCAGCAGCACCACCACCAGCAGTGGCCCCAGCAAGGCCGCTGCTTCCACCGCGCTGCCGCCACGCAAGCCGATCGCTCCCATGTTCTCGGCCCTACTGGGAAGGCGTCCAATGGCCCCAGGTGAGCTGCAGGCCAAGGTCAGGAAGCTGATGACCACACCAGCACGGCCTGCAGTTCCAGGTAGATCTCTTTCTTTCTCTTTAACACAACAGTGGTTCAGTGTACAGGATTAACTAACCATTGCCCTCCCACCCCACAGCGGTGTCTACATCCGTCAGAGACCAGCGCCCCTCGGTTCCGCCGCCGCCCCCCCCCACAGAGGTGACGGACGAGGAACTGGTCCAGATGGCCACTGACTTAGAAACGGGTAACTGGCACCACACTGGACACGTCACACTGTAACATTTGCCCTCAATATATATTCTTCTGGCGGTATTTTTGTATTAACTGTAATGGTCTCATTTACTGGTCTCTACAGCTGATGCTTGAAGACCAAAGGTAGGTTTGGCAGGTAATGTAGCCGTCTTTGTCGGTGGTAGATGTGTAGAACGTAGTGGCAATGTAGATTTGCTTAACCACCTTCACATGTCTACTTCCCTTGGCCCTGCTGCATCTCTTGACATTCACCTTGTAGCACTAGACCATCTGCCCTATCACTGGCATGCTGCACGTCATCTAATCACTGGCATGCTGCACGTCATCTAATCACAGGCATTCTGCACGTCATCTAATCACTGGCATTCTGCACGTCATCTAATCACTGGCATGCTGCACGTCATCTAATCACAGGCATTCTGCACGTCATCTAATCACTGGCATTCTGCACGTCATCTAATCACTGGCATGCTGCACGTCATCTAATCACAGGCATTCTGCACGTCATCTAATCACTGGCATTCTGCACGTCATCTAATCACTGGCATGCTGCATGTCATCAACACTCAGACTCACTTAGGCTTGCCTGCCTGTGTGTTGCCCCATGACTATCATTGTGCTGATGCCATTTTGTTGTGTGTGAATGTGTCTGAAGCTCGCGTACAGGTCCTTCAGACTCTCCCGCTCCCGCTGGTGGTGAGGCCTCCATCTCCACCTCCTCCGGCATTGTCCTCCATCCCCCCCCCACCGCCACCACCTCGAGTTGCGGCTGCTCCACCTACGCTCGCGGTTCCGGCTCCGGCGTTGACCAGGGAGGAGTCCCGTCGCGTCTCCGTGGAGGAGACGCCATCTGGGGAGGCCACCCTGGCACCAGCGCCGGCGAAGAGGAAGAGGAAGGAGAGGAAAGTGGAGCAGCCCGCAACACCCACTCCTGCTTCGGCTGAGGTACAAACACACGCACGCACGCACGCACACGCACGCACACACACACACACACACACACACACACACACACACACACACACACACACACCGTGCCCGTACTCATGGACGGCACAACTCAGTGAAGTTGACTGTCAAACTGCATGTAGCACCTCCTCTCAGCCTCCTTACAGTGTGTTTGTTTGTGTTTTTTTTCTTCCTCACAGTCCCGGTTGCCTGAGAGCTGGCGGACAGCTCTCACCGTGGAAGAGCAGGAGTGGATCGGCCGGGAGCTGTTTAGGAAAGACAGCGAGGGGAGGAGCAAACTCACCACAGACCTCAAGCTGTGGTGGGACCCCCCTCAGCCCCGGCCGAGTTACACTCAGCCACCCGCCTCGCCAGCTGCCTTCTTCGCGTGTCGGCTGTTCCTCTGGACCCCCCTGCGTCTGTGGGGCGTCCGGCCGACATGCTGTAATAGGGCCCTCACCAAGTGTGGGCTCTACAGGACCATCCGGAGGGTCCTGGACATCGACGGCTGGTACTTGATGGCCACCGAGTACCTGGAGTGCCGTCGGTGTAAGAGGAAGGTAGCTGCCTGGTCGCAGGAGGTCGTGAGTCAGCTGGGAGAGGGGCATCGCGCCCTCTTCCCGGCAATCCTCACCTACAAGTAAGTAGCTGTCTGAAAACTGTCACGCAGCCCCTCGGTCTGTCTGTGTGTGGCTCTTCTGTAACACACGATGTGCTCCTCTCTGTAGGCTTGCCTGCGACCGGCGGGTCATCATCCAGCTGCGTGAGCGTACTCGGGGGAACAGCGCCACGCAGCTGTACAAAAAACTCTGTGAGGCACACACAGAGGCCTGGATGCGGCGGTCCATACACTACCTCAGCGTCATGGAGCCCTTCACGTCGCGGGGTGTCGTGCGCATGTGCACCCCACCACCAAAACCGCCACCCGTGCCCCAGTACGCGTGGCTGTTAATGGTGTACTGCCACGACATCCTCTCCCGCCTGGAGGACGTGAAGGCCCGGGTCACCTCCGTCTTCGGAACGGTCCTGAAGATGGATTCGACCAAGAAGGTAAATGTGGTGCTATAGCGCAAACGGAGTATCATGCTCTGGCTATGTGTGTGCAGCCTTACTGAGATGCTTTTTTCTTTCAAACAGGTGACCCGGAAGCTCTCCGGTGCTGCCGCCCAGACCGCAGCGTGGGCAACGAACGTCGGCAACGAGCACGGACAGGTGCTCATGTCCGTGCTCACGGACGCCGAGGGTGCCGGCCTGTTGCCCATGGCTGCGGGGTTAATGCGGCGGTATCGGGACGCTGGGGTGGAGCCGCCTCAGCTCCTCTACGTTGACCGGGACTGTTGTTCGTCCCACGGGGGATCCAAGACAGCTGACATGTTCAGGAAGTGGGACAAGCTGGTGGTCCGGCTGGACATCTGGCACCTGATGCGGCGGTTCGCGTCAGGTGTGTTGTGGCATAAACAATAATTAAACAAACAGCATCACAGTAAGAGACGTCATGGTTCCATAACTTGATATAACATGCATTTTTCCACAACAGGTGTCACCACCGAGAGCCACCAGCTGTATAAACCCTTCCTGCAGCAGCTGTCTTCGTGCATCTTCCTGTGGGACCCAGAGGACACAGCCCGGTTGCTCAACGCCAAGAAGAGGATGCTTGAGGCGCAGGGGATGACCTTCTCGTCCGACGCCGGAGTGTGGAGGCACGTCAGCCGCAAGAATATGGCTCTCCATTGCCGTCGCCGCACGCGTGGAGCGGCGGAGACGGAGCGGCTGATCGGTGACCTCCTGGAAACCTTCGGCGGTGCCAACGGACGAGACACCATGGGGATTTCCCTGCTGGACCAAGACCGCATCCAGAAGATCTGGACGGAGCAGCGGCGCCACCTCCATTGCATCCAGGACCCGCCGGGCGTGGAGCTGTACACTGAGACCGGCAGGGTGACCCAGGGGGGGATCAGCCTGCCGGTGTACCGTTGTGCACGAGGCTCCACGTCCCTGGAGTCGTTCCACCTGCATCTCAACCGCTTCATTCCAGGTAGAGCACATGTTTGACTGTCATGTCAATCTTTCACTGTCATCGACTCGTTGTTATTCACATTGTGTGCACTGAATAAACTGCTAAAAACATCTGCGTTCCTCCTCAGGAGAAAGTGCCAATCCCTGGCACTTCCAGGCATTTCTCCTGGAGGGGTTGACGCGGTGGAACGCGGACAGGGCGGCGTCCGTGGCACAGGAGGGACGGCAGCTGCTCCGCTCCTACAATGGCCCCCTGCAGCACTCCCTTGACCAGCTCAGCCAAAGGGTGCTTGGCACGAGTGTGGTCAAGGATTACACCAAGCCCAGGGAGTACACCGGTAAGAACACTCGAGCCACCGCGCTTACACATGTCCACACTGAATGATATTTGTACCTGACTGACTGTTGTTGTTGTACTTCAGGGGAACTCATCGGCATCGAGTACCTGTACTCCCAGACGGGCAGAGTGCTGCAGGACGTCAGCTTGGACCCTGACATTCCGGACGCGGGGGGGGACGTTCCCCAACTCGTTGAGGATGACGAGCTCGCCGACGGCCAGCAGGAGGTGGAGGACCTCACCCTCCACGTGCCTGGCGAGTTCCCCTCTCCTCAGACGGACCCGCGGTCAGGGCGACCGGCTGACGCACCCGCGCCCGAGCCATCCAGTCCGACCGGTGCCCCCGAACCCGCACCCCACTCCCCCGGCCGGTCCTCTCCAGAGCCTCAGCAGGCTGCTGAGGTAAGCACGCCACCTCTTTGTGGTCTGCGACTGCAGTGCGCTCGCTCTGTTCCATCCAACTGACTTATTGTTTTCCATCTCTTCTTGTGTGTCTGCAGGACTACAGAGGACCAGATGACCAGCCGGGGTACCTGGCCGTGGTCCAGTTGGCCACGGCCTTGGTGGGGTTGCGTCACGAACCGGCCTTGTCCGAGGGGAGGGTAGATGAGCTCATCAGGCTCTACGAGGCCCTGTCACCGTACGACAGGGCCCGAGTAGTTTACCCTCCCCGCTACAGGGACAGGCCAGCTCAGGGGCGCTTCATGGCAGCAAAGCCAAGCCGCACCAGTATACCTGGTGTGGAAAGCTTGAGGCGGTAAGGCTACACTTCCATCATACATTTCCCTGATGTACACACAAGCTGCTCTATGTAATGTTGCCCATTATCATGCTCATATCTGTCATTGTTTTTTGTCCATTGTCCGCAGCTGCCTGGTCGGAGAGACCTCTGGACCTGCCAGCAGTCCCAGCGCAAGCCGGCTGGTAGAGGCAGTATGCACCCAGCTCTGCCGCTTCATCCCCTCGGGCAGCCGTGCGCGCGGTGCCCGGAGGTCGCGGTGGGACAGCATACTGCTTCGGTACCAGCACATCCGGGACCTTGTGCTGGGCCACCAGAGGCTGATGGCTCGGGCGCCCATACAGCTCTTTGAGCTGAACGCCAGGACCCTCTCGCTGTGGTATGTTTGATGCTTTGGCCAGTGTTATGGTAATGACATGCTTGAATGGCATGCTCTCAAAATTGTACATGTAACTAAAATACTACGTTGAAATCCGTTCTCAGGTTCACCAGGACGCAGCGGGAGAAGGAGAGGACTGTGCTAGCTTCAGGCGTTGCAGCAGAGGGACGACCACCAGCGGCAGCGGGTTCGGCAGTGGCAGCGCCGGGCCCAGCAGCAGTGGATCGTTCTCCGGCAGCAGCAGCAGCAACAGGCCAGGCGACGACAGCAGCGCCAAGGACGGCGGGACCTCTGGCAGCAGCACCGGCTGTGGCAGCACCGGTGCCTGTTCTGCCAGCGCCAGTGCGCCCACTGGCGCCTTTACCGCCTGCCCCCTCAGCTGTTGTCCTGGCTGTACCACCGGCTGCTGCAGCTGCAACAGGACCTTTTCCGGCAACACAGCCTCTCTTTCTGGACCTCTCACTGCCCCAGCAGAGTGTGAGGGTGCTCCCCATCCCAACGCTCCCTCGGACAACACCAGCCCCACACGTCCTCCCTCTGCCGCTGGCTGACGCACATCACGCCGGCCCTCGGCTGCCTGCACCTCCTGCTCCCCCTCCTCAGCCTCGCACTGCATACAAAACTGAATGGCTGAGGAGGAAGAGGGCTGAGCAGAGGGCAGCGGCAGGAGCAGTCGTCGCTGCCCGGGCCGGCGTGCCACAAGAACAAAAGTGCAGGAGATGCGGCCAGCCAAAGCGGAGGGAGACCGGACACACCCGCTACGGCAATGTGCATTTTTGCTCTGCCGCCGCGGCGGGTAAGAGTGTGGAGGACTGGCTGAGGGAGGTGAAGGACCAGGGTCGAGCCCCGGACTGATTTTGCATTCTCGCTGGGGCAGGTGTATATAGTTGTTTCAGTGTTTGTTTGTTTTTTAAAGACATTGACTTTCCCCTCCACAAGGACCGGGACCTTGCCGCGGTGTGGAGGCTTCCTACAAACACCGGTCCACACCTGCCACAACTTTTCTACAGCAAAAAAAAACATTGTGTATCCCATTCACACCTGTACAACATTGCCATGCCTTTGTACTATTCTGATTCTTTGCACTGACAAGTTATATAGGCCTATACTGTGTGTCTGCTGCCTATCATATGGCTTAAGAAAAAGAAAAGAAAACATTGTCTGTCCCATTCACACCTGTATAACACATTGTCATGCATTTGTGCTGTTCTGATTTTATGCACTGACAAGTTATATAGGCCTTTTGGACATGTGGGTATGTTCAATAATGTGGTCACTGTCTTTGGAGTTACGTCCAGTTGCCACTGGCTCTGTTGCCGCCGCGTTGGTACTTCACACTGTATGCTGCTGCAATATTTATCCATGCATGTCTGTAATGAGCCCATATACTATGCATCTGTCTACTGTGATTGATGTGGTTTAAAATAAGAGGAATGAAGCCTTGTGCCACTGTTCTGCATCAATACCACTGTTCTGCATCTCACCCCAGAACATTTATGCCATGTGTCTGCTCTGATGCTCTATTTCTATTTTTATTATTATTACTATCATCATCATCATCATCATCATCATCATCATGTTTTATTGTATTGTAGTTTGAAATAAATAATCTATTTCACACTGTAGTCTACTGCTGCTGTGTTTGGTGTTTTCTGCATCTATACATCATCATCAACAACAACAACAACAAAAACTGATTTTTAATTGATTTTTTTTTTACTGAAGAAAAAGGTGAAACGAATAATACACGGCATGTAACTTTTATTTATACATTGAAATAAAATTGACATAATATAAATGTAATATAATGTTTAACAACAAATTTATATATATATATATATATATATGCAGAAAAAGGTGAAACAATACAAAATACAATATATCTATGCAGAAAATGGTGAAACAATATGAATACAATATATTATTTAACATACATTTTAATATCTAGGCAGAAAAAGGTGAAACAATAGAAATACAATATAATGTTTAACACAACAGATTTTAATATCTATGCAGAAAAAGGTGTTACTTTTATGTATACACATGAAATAGGCATAATATGAATATAATAGTGTGTAATATAATGTTTAATATTTGTGCTTCGGTCGGGATTCGATCCTACGTTTTGATGGTGTCTCGTTTGTACCGCGTTTGTGCGACTGGGCATGCGCGAAGGCACTAATGCGCATGCGCGAAAACAGAGAAGAACGATGGCGGAGCTCCAGAGGCATTGCCGATCGTTCTTCTCTGTTTTTTAGCACATGCCCAGTCGTACAAAAGCGATACAAATGAGCCGCCCTCAAGTCGCAGGATCGAATCCCGGCCGAAGCACAAATATTAAAATCAATATTACGTTAATGTTATGCCTATTTCAAATGTATACATAAAAGTAACATGCCGTGTATTATTTGTTTCACCTTTTTCTGCATAAATATTAAAATCTGTTATGTTAAACATTATATTGTATTTATGTTATGCCTGTGTCATTATGTCAAGAAGTAACATGCCGTGTATTATTTTGTTTCACCTTTCCCTGCATAAATATTAAAAGCTGTTATGTTAAACATTATATTATATTTACATTGTGTAAATAATTGTATGTCAATGTATAAATAAAAGTTACATGCCATGTATTATTTGTTTCACCTTTTTCTTCAGTAAAAAAATATCAATTAAATATCAGTTGTTGTTGTTGTTGATGATGATGTAGTATAGATGCAGAAAACACCAAACACAGCAGCAGTAGACTACAGTGTGAAATAGATTATTTATTTTAAACTACAATACATCCAATAAAACATGATAATAATAATAATAAAACATCAGAGCAGACACATGGCATAACTGTTCTGGGCAGAGATGCAGATGATAATAATAATAATAATAATAAAGCATCAGAGCAGACACATGGCATAACTGTTCTGGGCAGAGATGCAGATGATAATAATAATAATAATAATAAAGCATCAGAGCAGACACATGGCATAACTGTTCTGGGCATAGATGCAGATGATAATAATAATAATAATAATAAAGCAATCAGAGCAGACACATGGTATAACTTCTGGGCAGAGATGCAGATGATAATAATAATAATAATAATAATAAAGCATCAGAGCAGACACATGGCATGACTGTTCTGGGCAGAGATGCAGATAATAATAATAATAATAAAGCATCAGAGCAGACACATGGCATAACTGTTCTGGGCGGAGATGCAGAACAGTGGTATGGATGCAGAACAGTGGCACAAACCACATCAATCACAGCAGACAGGCACATAGTATAGGGGCTCAGTACAGACATGCATGGATACATAACGCAGCAGCATGTGTGAAGTACCAACGTGGCGGCAACAGAGCCAGTGGCAGCAGCAGGTGAGCCAGCACCAACGGCAGTCCGGTATCTTGCATCGCAGTACGTAACTCCAAAGACAGTGACCACATTAATGAACATACCCACATGTCCAAAAGGCCTATATAACTTGTCAGTGCATAAAATCAGAACAGCACAAAGGCATGACAATGTGGTATACAGGTGTGAATGTGTTATTCAGGTGTGAATGGGACAGACATTGTTTTTTTTTCTTAAACCATATGATAGGCAGCTGACACACAGTATAGGCCTATATAACTTGTCAGTGCAAAGAATCAGAATAGTACAAAGGCATGGCAATGTTGTACAGGTGTGAATGGGATACACAAAGTTTTTTCAAGCATAGTCTCACTGTGCTGTAGAAGAGTTGTGGCAGGTGTGGACCAGTGTTTGTAGGAAGCCTCCACACCGCGGCAAGGTCCCGGTCCTTGTGGAGGGGAAAGTCAATGTCTTAAAAAAAAAAGCCTCAACACTGCCAACAACTATATACACCTGCCCCAGCGAGAATGCGAAATCAGTCCGGGGCTCGACCCTGGTCCTTGTCCTTCATCTCCCTCAGCCAGTCCTCCACACTCTTACCCGCCGCGGCGGCAGAGCAAAAATGTACATTGCCGTAGCGGGTGTGTCCGGTCTCCCTCCGCTTTGGCTGGCCGCATTTCCTGCACTTTTGTACTTGTGGCACGCCGGCCGGCTCTGCTCAGCCCTCTTCCTCCTCAGCCATTCAGTTTTGTACGCAGAGAGAGGCTGAGGAGGGGAAGCAGGAGCTGCTGCCTGCACTGCTTGTTGTCCTTGCTGTCCTGAGGGCCAGCGTGATGTGCGGCGGCCAGCGGCAGAGGGAGGACGTGTGGGGCTGGCGTTGTCCAAGGGAGCGTTGGTATGGGGAGCACCCTCACAGGCAGTGAGAGGTCCAGAAGGAGAGGCTGTGTTGCTCGAAAAGGTCCTGTTCTGTTGCCAGAAAACGATCCACCGCCGCTGCTGCTGGGCCTCGGCGCTGTCGCTGATGGTGGTCGTCCCTCTGCTGCAACGCCTGAAGTTAGCACAGTCCTCTCCTTCTCCCGCCTCGTCCTGGTGAACCTGAGAACGGATTTCAACGTAGTATTTTAGTTACATGTACAATTTTGAGAGCATGCCATTCAAGCATGTCATTACCATAACACTGGCCAAAGCATCAAACATACCACAGCGAGAGGGTCCTGGAGTTCAGCTCATAGAGCTGTATGGGCGCTCGAGTCATCAGCGTCTGGTGGCCCAGCACAAGGTCCCGGATGTGCTGGTACCGAAGCAGTATGCTGTCCCACCGCGACCTCCGGGCACCGCGCACACGGGTGCCCGAGGGGATCAAGCGGCAGAGCAGGGTGCATACTGCCTCTACCAGCCGGCTTGCGCTGGGACTGCTGGCAGGTCCAGAGGTCTGTCCGACCAGGCAGCTGCGGACAATGGACAAAAACAATGACAGACATGAGCATGATAATGGGCAACATTACATAAATCAGCTTGTTTGTACACCAGGGAAATGTATGATGAAAGTGTAGCCTTACCGTCTCAAGCTTTCCACACCAGGTATACTGGTGCGGCTTGGCTTTGCTGCCATGAAGCGCCCCCGAGCTGGCCTGTCCCTGTAGCGGGGAGGGTAAACTACTCGGGCCCTGTCGTACGGTGACAGGGCCTCGTAGAGCCTGATAAGCTCATCTACCCTCCCCTCGGAGAAGGCCGGGTCGTGACGCAACCCCACCAAGGCCGTGGCCAACTGGACCACTGTAGGTGTACCAAGTGAACAAAATTTACTGATGGCTTAATTTAAGAAATTTTCTATTGCGCTTCTGATTTGGCTGGGAGATTCTCTGATTTTGGGTGCGCAACAGTGAGTTTGTCCAGTAACTCTAGTTGGAATCTTCACCCCAAAATGGCGGCCGCGCTACCGAAGCGCCACCTAGTGGCTGTTACCAAAAAAAGCATCAGAGTTTCGCCTCTTGTTCTTCTATACTCTTTGGTAAAGGTACTCTGGGAAGACAATGTTATATCAGTACATCGTAATATTCTATTTATTTTTGTTTTACTCACTCACTCGATGACTCGGTCGGTGTCAGAGACAATTTAATTAATTAATTACATTTTTTATAAAAGGACTTTGGTTAGTTGACGGCTGCTATGACAAACGCTCGATAATCCGAGCTGTTGATTGGCCCAAAACGCTCGATAATCCGAGCTGCTGATTGGCCCAAAACGCTCGATAAACGCTCCATAATCCGAGCTGCTGATTGGCCCAAAACGCTCGATAAACGCTCGACAATCCGAGCTGCTGATTGGCCCAAAACGCTCGATAAACGCTCGACAATCCGAGCTGCTGATTGGCCCAAAACGCTCGATAAACGCTCGATAACCCGAGCTGCTGATTGGCCCAAAGCTGAAAACGCTCGATAAACGCTCGATTATCCGAGCTGCTGATTGGCCCAAAGCTGAAAACGCTCGATAAACGCTCG